ACCACCAAACAATATTGTTTTTCTTTGTGTAGGTATAGCAGAATACCTCTGGAAAACATTCTTTATGTTTGTCAGGATATTGTTTTCCATCATAGTCATCTAGTGATGTGATCCCCTAGACTGAATTCAATCTGAAAAGTCTGTAATGGCCTAGGATTGAAGTCCTTACTTACATTAGCAGTATGTAAGAACAGTTTGGGAGCCCTTGTTAGAACCATACATCATGTAGAGAATGTAGTAAGCCTACCCCTCTAGAGTCGTATGAATACCTTAAGAGAATTAGAATACATGCAGTTAGGGTTTTAAATTTTATTATGTACTTTATTCACTATATTTTCATTTACCAGTTGAATTTAATCTTTTCATATTTTACTAACACACATTTCCTCTCTTTGATTATTATTTTTCCTAACATCTTTTCCTTGTGCCTTGTCCTGTTGCTTTATTTTGTGCATAAACCTAGTTTTAATTACCAAGTTAATTATCAAATTAGAAGGATTTTAAAATGACAACGCTACACAAAGGGGAAGATAAATTATTTTTATTTTCTTTGACATTTTGAGACATTGTGTGTTCTTTGCAAGTTGTTCGAGGATAATTACCTTGGAATTAATACATGTTTCATACATGTCATGTTATTAAAGGTATTGATTCCTGAGTTAATAGTTATATTAGAAGGCTTTCAAAATGACAATGTCACTTGAAGGGGTAGAATAGAACTGCAAAAACGCATCATTTGTCCAGATGGGTGCTCGAGGAAGCATCTGAAGAAGGTACACCAAGTCCGAATACATGAGGCTCAAATGAAGCAATAAAAAAACTTTTCAAGGATACTATAATGACGCGTATATAACTAGCCAAAATGAAGTAATATATTTAAGATCATCAAACAACAACAATAACCAACACGAGACAGTGGATGATGCCATTCATATATGGTCACTCAACAAATGCATTTCTTGAAAAGAAGTCGAAGATTTGGAATTTTCCATCAAGCCAAGGATAAAAGAATATTGTTTCCTTACATATTCGATCAAAATTCATGAAGTCGAGTATTGTGATGTGATTTGTAGTTTCCATCGGCCTCGGTCTATTGAGACATCTGTGTTATTTGAAAGTTGTTTTATGACAATTACTTTTGAATCAATACCTTCATTGCATTTGCATTTGCATTTACATTTTGCATTCGTACCTTTGCATTTTCACGTTTGTACTTGTATTTTTTTTACATTGCATTCACATTTTGTTTGTTTCAAACTATTTTACATGTATTCAATCATAAAAAAGTTTGAAAGTAAGTCATGGAGTATTCCATGACACAAATTCTAAAAGGCAAATTGGAGCAAACTTGGTATTCCTACCGAAGGATAAGAGCCATGAATTAGATTTTTAACACGTGTTGGTATAATTGAAAAACTCCAAAAGCAACTTATCAAGACTCAGCAAGAGATTATTGATCGAGAAAAGAAATTCCAAGATGAGTCAAGAGAACATATGTTGAAATGGATGCATCATATGATTGTTTTGATTCATAGGGAGAAGCCACCAAAGGATCCCACAGTAAAGATTGTGAATAAGATTTTGAATGATAAAATGATAGCAACAGGGTATCAATAACCTATTAAAGAGCAAGATATCTCAAGCCATCTCCAGAAATTAGATGTGGTCCCAAAGCGCATCTTTGAATTGTTAATGAACAAAAAAGAAACAAAATATGAAGGTTTCCTTATGATAAATAGGCCCCACTTGAAGAAGAGGGGCAAAGAAAAAGCCCAAATGCTTATCAAGAAAGCTAAGAAGAGTCAAACTCTTATGATTCAGTGCATTAATCCCCCGCAGTCATCAAGTCATGTCAATCAAACTCTTACTATAAAGATAACACAAGCTAGCCTTAATTCAGGAGAGGCATATGATAATAAAAGTAAATCATAGAGTTTTTAGTTCCATCTCTTCCACTTTTCGTGAGGAAAGATACATTCTAAAATGCTCAAAGTCTGGCTTATTACACCACACTACGTGCAGCCGCAATGTCCTATGAATGAGAAATGCTCATATAAGGAGGATTCTTGGATAAATAGAACTAAAACCTCAAGATGATCAGATAAGGTTTCGAGTAACTTTGAAGAAAAATGTTAAGATCCTCTAGAGCGAGAAATCCAAAGGTGCAAGATAAGAAAGCGAAAGACTAAGAGTATGTGCCCAGAAATCTATTTCCTAACATAAAATAATGCAATCAAATCCTGTGAAGGTCACATGGAGAAAGAGAATGAGAAGGGAAATTCAAACAAGAAGGTTTCAGTGGATGTAATCCGAGACTGGCCCATAGGATTGAGAACAAATTGGTCAGATGCAAGCCTCAAAACCTCTGATACGCCTATATCAGATTTTCTAATGGCAAGTGGGGTATTACACATTTCAAAGAGTCAGAAAATACTCCAGTAATTGTTGTAGCATTAAATGCTTGAAGCCCAACCAAGACTATCATCCCCAAAGAAAATCATTTTAGATTCAAATTTGGGCCTAATTTCTAACTAGAGAAGAAATAGCTGAAAAAGTAAGAATAAGATAAAGATATTAACTTGAAGAAATATGATCACCTCTTGAAACATCTGAATCATACTTTACAGTTTTGAAAGGTCAATGAATAACCACTCTTGGTGGAAGCAACTAAAGAGGGAAAGAATATAAAAAATAAAGAGATGCACATTACCGTAGTGCCTGACAATGGTGAGGTTGGAGAATTTGCACTGAAATATGACCTTGTTTCGCTGAAGATGAACTGAACAATTGGACTATAGAATACATTCTTGTAGATTGAAACATTGCTGGTTGATGGTTGCAGTTACATAATCATGTCGCTCTAGGGCCTTTGCGCTTGTGAGATTGAAACATTGTTCGAATTAAGAATCTTGCTTCCTGGAAGCATTAATGAAACACACTTATTCATTATCACCATATAAATGCATGAGCGTGATGGGTTAAATCTCAGAATAAGGGCTTTTATTTTAAAAACCTTACGCGATCTTCCTTAATGCCTTGGTTGCTACTTTGTTTTTCTACACCATGGTAGCATTTGCAGTTTTCTTCAGGTGCTCTGTTGTGACTTTTTGGGTAGGAATAAGGGTGTAAAGCTGCTATTGATGCTAGCATCAATGTAGCAACATTGGTTTTCCTCGTTTGATATAGTCTCTTTAAAGTCTGACTTATCTATTTCTTTTATTATCGCAAAAATATTAAAAAGATCTTCAATGCTCCCATATTCATCTAATTGTTCTTGTAATATTGCTTCAACAATGTCAACATCATGACATTCATCTTCTTCATCGCATAGTAGTGGGTTGAACATATTGAATGTAATTTGTTGGTTATTGAGATGCAATGTGAGTTCTCATTTTTTAATACCAATCAATGTTTTTCCGGTACCAAGGAATGGTCTTCCTAGTATTATGGGAACCTTTTTGTTAGCTTAACAGTCCAAGACAATCAAATACGTTGGATAGATAAATTTTTCCACTCCTACTAGCACATTTTAAATATTGCCTTCTGGGTGGACAATAGATCGATCAACAAGTTGAGGTGTAAATGTTGTGGGTTGTGCTTTACTAATCCCAAGTTTCCTAAAAATAGACAAATGCATCAATTTAGTGTTGAAACCTAAGTCACTTAAAGCTCTACCTATGTATTGATTGCTAATACAACAAGGAAGAGTAAAACTCCCTGGGTTTTTTAACTTTGGGGGTAATTTGCTCATGACAATGGCGCTGCACCCTTAAGTGAGTGAAACAATCTCAAAATCACCAATCCTACATTTCTTAGAAAACACCTACTTCTTAAATTTAACAGAGTTTGATGTTTGTTTCAATACTTCCAGCAATGGTATGTTAATGCGCAATTATCTCAGCACATCAAGAAATTTCTTAAATTGTTTGTTCTCATTTCTTTTCTATAATCTTTGAGGGAATAGTGGTGGAAGTCTTGGGTTCGACTGATTCAACATTGGTGGTGGCATCACAGGCATTACAAGAGGTAATATTGTAGGCATTTTTGCCGCCAATGTCCATGAATTACTACTCTGTTCTGCACCCCTTGCTGTAATATCAACAGTTGGTGTCCATTTTCATGTTTTTTTTTCTTTATCTTACCGTCCAAGCCTCTGATCATCATTCTTCTTATTTCCCTCATTTTCCTTTCCAAGTTGGAGTCCATTTCATGTTGTGATGGATCTGCAATGCTCATTGCAATGGGCTTTTCCATGTGTCTTAGGATTTTTAGTGTCGCTAGGCAACATTACTTGATTCCTATTACACATAAAATGTGCTAGTTGTCCAACCTAATTTTCTAAGGCTTGTAATGATGTTGATTGACTTGCCATATACTTCTTCATTAAAGCTTCAAGAGAAGTTAGGTTGGAAGCTTGATTTGAATCATGCCCTTGATAGTTCTAACTTTGTTGTGGTTGTGCGACTAACTGATGTTGTGTCAATATATGTTGCTGATTGTAATGTTGCTGTTATGGATTTGCAGTATATTGGCTACTCCATGATAAATTGGGATGGTTACGAAAATTGGCATTGTATGTGTTCCTATAAGAATGCACATTATCTTCCCTATTGTAGTTCTTTATATAATAGATAGATTTGGGGTTTATGGGCATTCCTCAGAGTTTGTGTATCACCACAATAAAACAAAGAGAGATGAGATGCATCTTTTACCTTGCACATGGCCCCGATTTTGTAATTTCTTAACCATATCCGTCATTACTATGATTTGTGAAGCCATTGAATTGAAACCGTCAACATCCACTCTTGTAGCATTATGTCTATAAAAACATGTTCCTCGTGTTTTGGTATTAATAATCGTTGTTAAATATTCTTTCTAAAATACCATAAGCCTTATTGTACATCTTATTCAGTAATGCCTCATTAGTAGAAGCATCAATAATCTTCCTCATCTGCATATTGAGGTCGTTATAAAACATCTCCATCTGTGTCTAATTCTGAAAGTCATACATTGGACACTTTTGTAGCAAGTCCTTAAAGCACTCCCAAACTTTATATAAGTTCTCATCCTCTATTTTCTTGAAGGAGGTAATGTAATTTCTCAACCTTGCATTCATGTTGAGAGGGTAGAATAGCAGAAAAAAACTTTTGGGCAAGCTCGTTCCATGATACTATAACACTATATGGAAGAGAGTTAAACCATGCTCTAGCTCTGTCATGCAGCGAATAGGGGAACAACTTTAGCTTCAATGCATCCTTTGGAACTCCTTACTGAACAAAATAATCACACACCTCCATAAATGATCTCAAGTGTGATTTAGGATACTCGGTGTGCATGCCACTATATTGCCACATTGATTGCAGCATTTGAAACATTTCGGGTTTCAATTAAAAATGGGTAACATGGATATCATGTCTCACGATAGTAGGATTTAAATCATCCAAAATAGGCACCACATGTTCTCGGATGAGCCTACTGCAATCATCAATGTTGTAATGATGCTGCAGTATCGGAGCATCTCTCATGGGCGGATTTAATCCCTCATGTGCATAATTATTTGGAAGATTGCTATCATCCCCAATTTGTGATGGTGGCAAAGAATTGTTCTCAACATCTTTTTCAATGTTTCTTTGATGAAGTGTTCTCTCAATTCTAGGATCAAAAGGTTCTAAGTCTCAATCGTTGCTGCGAGTTATGCACCAGTAACGCCCTGCTAAAGCTGCATAAAACAAATAAAAGCAAAGTTAATAAATAAAAGAAAACAACTCTAAATGTAATGACAATAATTCTCGTCAGCGACACCAAAAAATTGATGCTTCGAATAATGTAACAACAATCAATGCAAGCATACACTATCGTCTATCAAGCAGTAAAAATGGACACAACTAGTGTGTCGAGTTTCGTATCCTTAGAGATTAGTATTACTTCACAGAATTGTCATGCAACAATAATAAAATTTGGAGCAATGATGTAGCAATGTAATTAGAAATAGAATAGAATAAATAGGGATTACAACACAAGTAAATGAAGCAATGATCGATTTAGGCAAAATATTCTGAAATGTAAAATAACAACATGCAATAAACAATGTTTTAGAAACATGATTGATGTGTCTAACATTAACTAGCAGATAATTCTTCTCTGGAAAATATTTACCAACAACTCACAAGGAATGGCTATACCTCTATAACAATCCAAATAAGCATAAAAAGAATGCTACGATAAAACAATCAGCAAAAATCTCTTTTATGCTAAATGATGCACTCACAGACACTGATGCTACTCATGTTGTAACCCACTCTCGCGGCATTACTGGGCAGTTTATATCTCTACAAACAAACCGAAAATAAATCTTAAGCAACACCAATCAAAGTTACTAAGGCAAAATGAATAAACATTACATTCCTTGCATATATTTAAAATAAAAGATTCGAGTTTAACATCTCAACATAAAAAAATGTACCAGCTTATCCTAAGTAAAAAGGCTCTAAAAGATACTCTTTTGGAGAGTTATCAGTGTTCCTATCATGTTTACTGTAATGGCTAAAATCAATCATCGCAAACTATCTCACATGCTTCTTAATGAAGAAAAATGTGATGAAGTTCATTATGATGAAGAAGATGAAAATCTTTCTTTCTTGTTAATGAAGAAAAACGAGTTGAAGTTGATTTTAGTCATGAAGATGAAGATGAGCTTCCAAGTCCTAGAAAGAAACACAGGTTTACCAGGTACATTAGCAAACGGAGCTCACCAATAATTGTTTATACTTAGAAGGTGAAGTACATGATGCATCTTTGCACTTGAAGATGAAATAGATGTCACTAATGACATTGGGATGGCCGATGCAGTTTTAGCATCCGCCTCCGAAATAAAGCAGAACCCAAGGATTCGTGGAATAATAAAGTTCCATTGGTTTCCAATGTTTGTCATAAGGTATCTTTATAACTATTTTCACAAGCAATTGTGCTGAAAAACACCAACTTCATTGTTTGTTTGTTTTTTTATCTTCCTGGTACAGTCTTTTGCTGACATGGAATTTCATAACGAAATTGCGCAACATGCACAAAATGTATTTAATTCATATCAAGGTTTCTTTTTTTGGATTGCAGACAAATACCATGGTACAAATGGTCAAGGCAGTGCCCGTGGAATCATATACCTCGAAGTCGAGGCTTTTTAACTGAAATTTTCCGATATTGAGGCCGAAGATGATGTACCAAAACGAAAACTTACCTTGGAAAATATCGATGCCTTAGAGGTGATAAATTTTCCCTTGTTCTTTCTACTCATAGCAGATCCAAATTTCGTAAGTTATTCTTGAAATCTTGGTGGGGAAAGTGCAAATGTAATTGAAACCCTATTATTATCATGTCGAATCAAATCGTATCCGCTCAAATGTCGTCGAACTAACTGCAATCTACACTTAATGAAATTATTGTTAATTGATATCTTCCTTTTCATTCTTGTAGAAGGTTCATCTAGCGATTGAGTATATATTATTCTCGGTGGTGAACCCGTTGAACTTCTTCCAAGACGTTCTAAAATAATTGCCCGTCAAGTTGAGCTTGACAAGAGCTATCAGTTGGGTGAAAAAACTCGGGTACTGAGCTTAAGCCAAGGTTGCAAATTCTTCCTCATACATTGAACAGAAAGATTTCATCAAAATCCCTCAAAACTACATTGAATTTACGAAATGAGACCAAATCGAAGCCACTGACTGATAGCTGTGGAGGAACAAGTGTTACAAGGCTTCCCTTCCTGCTTGAATAAAACATGATTTCAATCATATGAATCATCGGTTGATACAAAGCTCTGATTCTTATACAGTTTATATGTAGGTTGTGTATCTCATTAAAGATTGCAAAATCTGACACAACACAGCTTGAAGGAAGGAGATTTTGTTGGCACCAACCTCAGCGTTAGCTTTTTCTTTGAGTTTTCTAATGTTTTCTTTTGAGAAACGGAAAACCTTTCCTTTAAAGCTGGTAGAATGTAACAAAAATAATAGTTTGGATACTAAATGTGTAATCTACCCTTTTTAATAATGTATAGTTGGATACAGTGGCAATGGTAATTATTTAAAACATAAAATGTATAAGACATGGGAAACTCAACACCTAAAAAATAGGTAATACTTCCAAGATATTTTAATGAAAATTGAGAATGGAAAGATTAATATCATCCACATATAGGGATGTAAATGAGATAAAATAGACCGTGAATTATTTGAGATTAACTTGGTCAGAGTTCGATTAACACTCTAATCAAATGGACTGAATTCGAGGTTGAGCATGAACTCGACTCAAATTCTTAACAAGCCGAAATGAGCTAGTTGATATTCACTCGAAAAGATCGCAAGTAACTTGAAATAATAATATATTAAAAACTATATTTTTTAAATTAAATTATTAATAACATTAACATTTATATGTTTTTTTAAATTCAATATAAGGCTTTCATGTTCTCAAGGTTCAGTTTCGAGTTCGAGTCGAGCTTCAATTTTGATTTCGATTAGAGTTCAAAAATTTTAACCCCACGAAACTTCATGTTGAATCGAGCTTCAATTTTTTATTTCGAAATCCTGTCAAATTTGACAATTTTAAGCTTTCGAGTTTTCCAATAGAGTGAAGCTTAATTTTAAAGTTTTGAAGTCGAATCGAGCTCAATAATACTCGAACTCAACTCGGCTCAATTACAACCGTATAGACCACATATACCAAATATAGATAGGCTTCATGATTATAGATAAACACAGATGAGCTAGAGTTAGATGTATAAAAACTAATTTAAATGAGAGTTCTTCAGCTTAGAGTACCAAACGTGTTGAATTTGTTTAAAACCATAAACGACCTTGTTAGTTTTGCATAAATATGTAAAGTATGCATGTTGTTCATACCATGTAGGAGAAATACTTGTAAAAAATTAATAATAAATCAATGATATTAGTAAAAAATAATAATCTAGACGAAATTCGGACTTTATTTCATGAACACACAAAGTATGAGAAAATTGAAATTTTTCTTTAATGTTTTTTTTTTTTTGGAACAACTCTCATCTACCGAGAATTTGTAACTACACATTGTAGAGATTGCTGATTTCTTTGATGCTTTTAAAAGAACTGAACTAGTAGAAATAGTGACAATTTTGTTATCGTTACCCACATTCTTATAGTCTTGTAGATAATTTGTCATGTTACGAGACTCTTTGATGATTAAGACTAAGAATTACTTTAGCATGAATACCTTGTATAATGCTTATTCGCATCCAAAGTGTGCAATATATACCAAGCATTCATAAGTTTAGGGTTAGAGGGTCTAAGAATGTAGATCAAATAATAATGATGATCAGAGGTATATAGGTAGTTTAAATAAATAAATGGAGGTTTAAATTGATTGAAGAATAATTTATATAAAGTTAAATATTAAGAAATGTAAGTGAAAATTGCAAGAAGAGATAAATTAGATTAAACTAAAATATAAAATATCTAACTTCATGTAAGTCATAATTAATTGAATGGATAAATTGATCCTAAATAAGTCTTATTCGAGTTCGTGGTGTAAATTTAAGTTGTGAAAACGGTAATAATAAGTTCTTCTCAATTCATTTATTTGTATAATAAAATTGCTTTTCGTTGAAGACGATAGCCTTATGAAGGTTGGGGTTGAAAAGGGAGTTGACGTCTGCCCCTATCAGAAATCATGAAATTTTCAGATTACAGCATGCATCGTCAAAAAATCACTATGAATCTATAAACTGGAATAACAATCCAAAATTAAAATATAATCCGAGATTAAAGTTCAAAAAGACATAAACTAAAGAGTGAGTTATAAAGATCAGTGTTTATTTTAAGTGAAACATATAATGACAACAAATCACAAACAATTTAGTCATGTCGCAAAATGCAAATTATAACTCAAGCAGCAGTAAAGCAGTTGATCATTATCATAATATTGTAAAAACAGAAATTTCATACAACTTTACCTTTCGCAGTGAATAAAACGGAATGGGGAAGTTATCCTCCGAAGAGGAACCCAAATCAGAATACATAAAATCAGGATGGGGAAGTTGTAACACCAGATACCAATCACGAAGGATGACCCGGATAC